AACCTCATAGTCACGAGGACCTGCTGCTCAGTGGTGGAAACCGGCAACCTAAGACCCGAGACTTGGAGTGGAGAACCATATAAGGCCCCAATAGGTTAGGCGTGGTATTGAACCGGACGACAGCAGAGCTGCTTACCACCAAAGTCGGGTGGCAGTGGGGTGCTATGAACTATATATTCTTACCTGTTCCAGTACAAAAATAATAAGTTGAGTAATGTAGGAAAGTTTAAAAAAAATCAATACAAATGATCGATACAGTTGAGATAAGTTCAATTCTCACCTGTACTGCATAAGCTATCTGGAGAAATAAAAACTTGGCATCTGCCTCATGCAGACTACCGAGACGGACGATCCTGTCGAACAACTCACCACCTTCAACTCTGGAATTGATTGATTGATGAGCTTATTTTGGTGACTTACAATTCCAAGATCATATACAACGCGTCTTCCGTGTTTATCACCTCATGTATGTAGATTATGCAGGGCTGAAAAGAAGGATAGATAAAAAACAAGAACACGACATTATTTGGCGTAAGACCGTACATTTGAAGTTACGGGATTAGGAACAGAAATCATTTTTCATTCCGTTCATGCCAAAAAAACCTCGGTCAANNNNGCTGATTTGTCAGGCAATCAAACTTAGAGCTATACAAACAGCTGTTTTTGTTTAGAGTATTAAACTTGGATTGTTTTTTAACTTGTTCTCAAAGGCACAACCTTAAGAAATATGGCGTTCAAATCGCTGACATACGAGTTGACTGAAATGCAGACAGTTGCTTGCACAGGTCATCACAATAAAACACAACAAAAAACAGTTCCATTATATTAAATGAAAGATGTCTAATTCAGTAACAGGTAAAAATTGGTGGGTGGGGNTCCAAAACATATTAACCACTAACAAATGTGATAAATCGAGTTTGACAAGGATACTCCTTGCAAATGCAAAACACGGAAGAGTAACAAGTGCATGAGGGAGAACAGAACATGTGGTAAACATTAGAAACAGAGCTAATCGACTGGATTCCAGTTAACAGTCGACTCCGCGCCATCCGTCTACAAAGATTGGTATGAGCGTCTCGTAATGGGATGAGAAAAAAACTGTTTTCCGTCATCGCGGCTTATGCACCCACAGACTGCAGTCTCGACACAAAGAGACGAGTTCTATTATCAGCTGATCAACTTCCTCCATAGTTGACAACACCTTGACATTGTGATACAAGCCGGCGATTCGAACGCGTAAGTAGGTAGGTTAGACGCTGGCGAAACCTCATTTGGGGGCCACGGTGTTAGGAGAACTGACAACGGCGACCGTTCAATGTGGATTTTAGCTGAACA